AAAAAACATATCTCTCTCTTCTCATCCTCCTCTTCCAGAACAAGAGAAGATACAAACATGCACAATCATACAAACATGCATAACTATGTAAGGAGGAATGGAATGGAGATAAATGGTATCTAAACGACATATCACTCAAGAGAAGCGAGAAGTCGCTTACAATTTAAATTTCTAAATTTTAGATTAAATATTCTTGCAGGTTAATAAACAATTTGCTGAGTTGATACATAAAATTATTGAAGCACGTGACAAATAATCATTTTTACACAAATCACTCTTGTAACATATACGTCAGGAAGAAGAAACTAATTTTTTATTCAGTTTTCTATACACTAATAAATGACATGTAGTTAACCATTTAATATGTTTTTTTTTGGTTTTCTTAATGTTCTGTATATTTGCATTTATTGTTGTTGCATGTCTTAATTTAGAGAATAGTTTAGCACTTACTTGTCTTCAATAGTTTAATAGCTTTTAATATGTGTTTTGGTGTGCTGCTTTTTTTTGAATAAAATGTCTCGGCAATCCATACAAATAAATAAATAAAATTCGATGTAACAAGACTGAACAAGTGATTATATAAGTACTTTAAAAAATATCCATCGGAGTACTCGTGACATTTTCTAGCGTGAGTATTTTTTAAGTACTATCATATGAGTATCTTCACTAGGGTATATTTCAACAATTCTTTTAGATTATATTTTACAAAAGAAACCATTTGTCTTTGTCTTTATAATGAAAATTTATTTCACATATTTTTTATTATTATTATTCTATAGAATAACAATAACATATGGTAATCAAAGTATTCCATTTACAATCGCCATTGATTTGTTTGAAAATAACCTTCTTCTAACGGATGATGTCAAAAGTGTTGTATTACAACTTCGATATCATTTTAATTCTAATACAAGTTATTTTTATGAATAAATAGAATAAATCTATGTAATAGAAAATATAATGGTGGTTGTGAACATTTATGTTTACTTGGAAGAGATTATTTATAAGCGAATAGTTATCAATGTCGATTTCAATCAGGTTTTTAGATTAAAATCATTTAAACGTAAAAGAAATAGAATAAAAGAAGATTTTCTTCTTTTAACCCGATTAACTTCTACTTGTGAAATTGATCTTCATTATGATTCAAATATTGAAGTTCCTCAGTTACAACATCGAAGATATTTCCAATGGCTAGTGCTTTAACATATGAATGCTATTTCAAATTACTTTATGTAACATCAATCAGTGAAAGTTTACTTCTGGTTGTTTGGCAAAATGTTAGAGATTTTCCATTGGAACTACTGATATACATGGTATTGCTTTGAATACTTTACAAGGATACGTGAGAGTGAATTTCATTTTTGAAACACATAAACTAAAGAGATCATTTTTATGGCTCATTCTCATAAGAGATACAATTTTTTTTTCTTCTACGAAGAGTATAGAAATACTGTTATAAGTATTTTTTTGCATAGCTATTTAAACTTTAGCTAGCTATTTAATCTCCTTTTCTTAGATTTTGAATTGCTATAGCTATTTAAACATTCGTATAGCTATTTAAATTTTAGCTAGCTATTTAATCTTCTTCTCTTAGGTTTTAAATAGCTGTAGCTATTTAATCATTTGTATAGCTATTTAAACTTTAGCTAGCTATTTGATCTTCTTCTCCTAGGTTTTAAATAGCTATAGCTATTTAAACATTCGCATAGCTATTTAAATTTTAGCTAGCTATTTAAGATTTCATTATCTTTTGATACACTACAGAGTTGTGAAAGTTGAACAACTACTAAATCTTGTTGGTGTGTCCTGATGAATACGTATTTAATCACTAAAGTTTTATTTCATGGTAGAAAAATTCCTAAAATATAGGAAATTCCCTGGCTAGATGTGACTCTAATTGAACATTTTTTATGTCAAGTTAGGTTCCAAAATTTTTCAAGCCAAGCTAAGTTGCGCTTCAAAATTTTGTAATAAAGCTGGATCACATTCCAAAATTTTTTCAACAAATCAAATTAAGTCATGTCTAACTGGACTTGAACATGATGCATTACTCACTTGACTTCTCCAGCTTTGAAACCAATTGACTTGCGTATGTCTAGTGTAGATGATTAAATATTTATTTCGAAAAGACTAACTAATAATTATATATAATTATTACGTTTCCAATACATTTATCGAACTTACTGATCCTTCTCGAGCAGAGGGTGTGTTGAAAAAAACCTCATTATGGATTTTTAGATCACTGGAAAGATCAAGAAATTTATTGAAAAATCCCATTGTTTTCCCAAAATTGATGGTAATATGTGGTTTTTAAAGAACTTAAGTACGTACTTCCATATGGTTAGATTTAATTAAAACCTTCTTGATCAACCATTCAGCACTTCTGTTTTTCTGAACATGGAATGTTAAATTTGAATACTATTATAAATAAATAAGTGATAGAATGTATGAATGATTGATCCGCTGGGTTAATATCAATAGGTTTGTAGCTTTGAAATCACTATGGAATGATTCATCATCAAGGTACTGATGAAATTGAGTTTCTTTGAATTTAGTTTTTAGTTAGAGGTTTGTAGTTATCAATTAATGTGTCATATTTATTTTGATTTAATTAGAAAAAAATAATTCATAAAGTCAGATTCAACAAAAATAGTAGTTAGATCGTTTTATTGTTTTAATTGAATCAAATAAAAACGGTTATTCAAGCATATTCCAAGTTAAAAATTTATTATTGCATTGAGAATCTGTACAACGAATACTATATGTGAGTTTTTTTGTGTCAATTAAAATTGCTGTTGTATTATTTTGATGATGTGCACGTATTTGAGGACAAAATCGGTAATTTCCTCCGATATTAAAAAATAGTATATTATTATTTTTATCACCACGATTACATGAACGAATATAACCTTGATGAATTTGATCAGACATTATTAATTTTTCAATAAATGGTATGAATTTTTGTATTTCTTGTTGCGAAAGATTTATATTATTATTTCGGTTATATTGTAAAAAAATCGATTCATTTGATTTAATAGCATATTTTGAGTTTATTTGTGTAAAAATAGGAGAGGTTAAATGGTTATTAATGTTATTTAAAATTGTATGATTATATGAAGTTGTTAAACATGCATTGTTCGATTCAATTAATTTTAATTTTAATTGATTTTTGTCAAAAGAAAATACTGGTAAATGAGAAAATTTTCTGTTATAGGTGATGATGGATTTTTCTAATATTTCAAAATATGATATTTCAGACTTTTCATTAAATGGAAACTGACTAGACTGGAGAAGAGTATTATTTTTACCATATTTGACACAGTCAAATAAGCGAAATTGCTGATTTCTAGAATAAACATTTAAGTCAATCGCTAAAGTCCATTTATGTTGTTTATTTAATACTAATAAATGTGCAATCTCGGCTACGTTTATGTAGGAAGTATATAAATAACATTTGGTACATTGTGCTCGTATTTTACTTATATATGGTGACAAGATTGCAATTAAATCAGATATTGTGTATTTTTATAGATTAAAATTAATATTGAAAAATGAACTTTTATGTTGAATAATTAATGATAAGAAAAAATGTATTATAACTTTCATAAATATACCTAGAGTAGTATTATTTTCGAATAAAACAGTAGGATTAGCATGGATGAAATGATATGAGATTTTTTGTGAAGTTGATCTAAGATTAAACAAAGACTAAGATTTATTAATTTTAATTAAATATTAAACGATAATTGTTCAAATGTATAGGATGTGACTAGAGTGTAAATCGAAAAGAAATATATGTCAGATATATGTGTTGACTCCAATTAATGTGATTATAATATTTTTGTATCCGTATGTTCGAACTAAAAATAGAGATGTGTTAAGCCGGAGCCTTTTGGTCTTGGTCAGTCTTAATCACAGTTGATTTCGAGAGCGGCAGATGTCGGTCTTGATGTCGGTAGTCTTGACCTCGATCGTCTCGAACGAATTCTCAGTTGTTACAGTCTCGGTTATTCTCAATCTGAAGCAATGCTGACTAAATTCAATATTAATTTTGGTCGCTCTAGTATAGAGTGACCAAGATTGAGATAACCAAGAACTTAATCGAGACGATCGCAATGAAGACGACTGACATTGAGACCAGTAGAGGTCGAGAGTCATCGTTTGATTTCGGACTCGGTACACCGCTAGCCGAGACAATATAAAGGAAAACTTTCAATATCACTGAAACGATTATTGAAACTTACGCTTCCAAAACAAGAAACTGTTGTAGAACAGTTTCAATATAATTTTGATTTTTAGAATCTGTACCATCGAAAAAATTCAGTACATAATGCAATAGTTTAAGACAAGAAGCAGCTCCAATATATTGATTTTTTATATCGAGATTATTATCTATGTAATAATCTTTTCATACAATACATGTGTATGGTATACTCTTTACTAACATGAACTGAAATAAATAAATTACGAATGAATCGGAAAGATTTCTGTGATTTCTATTTATTCCAGTATACGATGCAAAAGTCCGCACAAATATCTAACTCTGTTAAATCGTCTTAGCTACTTCCGACTCAATCAATTTTTTTTGTCGAAAAGAACAATTTCTGAATTATAGATTTTTTATTGAAGGTGTTTATTTTTCCAGAACAAACCACGAACAGAGGAAAAGCCGAAAATCAACATCTCCAAAAAGAGCTCTTGTATCTTCATTATCGATCAATATTGTTTTTTATTTTGTGTTACTTTTTTAATCAGCAGAGAAATGAGAAAGTATGTTTACCCAGATTTCTAGTGCTTAAAATAGTGGAGAAATCCCGTAAGCATGGAAATGTCAAACTAAAAATCTGTTTTGTAGGAAAATCGTAAAATAAGATTTATCACTATAATTCAAGACTTCTTCCTACATGAACTGGTCTAAAAACCTTCTCTGAGTATTGTTGCGATAGGTCGCCAATTTAGAACCAATCAAATATACCTATATAAGACCTATGGAAAAAATTTTCTTTATTTTCGTTTGGATATATCACGTCAACCATGATAACAAAAAATCAAAACTTTAATAGAAAAACTTATTTTTTCGAATATAAAGATACAGAAAAGCCTGTGTGGTTTTCTTAAAAGCCATTATAAAATCAATAAACTATGGTGTATTCGAGAGTAGACATTTTACTTCATCTTATAAGTTATAAATCAAAAGAATTTGACCAGAATTGACATTTTTTGAGTGGAGAGAGGTCCTTAAGATAATTCAAGAGAGTTAAACGTTTATGCAAATACTTTTGCAATGCATACTCTTAGATATAATACATAAAACAATTTAAAAGAGAATCTGATCTTTAATATTAGAGATATAACACTGTTGAACAAGTACTATATAATTCTTTTTGGGAATATCATTAAAATCATCTTTGCCAGTCGCTGAAAAACTTAGATGTTGACTTTGTCATGGTGTGAATAAGGCTTGATAATAATTTTGTAGATATTTTCATATATTCATCTAAACGTAATTGTTGTTGATCGACAAAAAAGTCTTTGGACTCAATGATAAATATTTTTTCCCTGTCAATCATTAGAAATTGAATGTTTCTTTCGAAGAACATTGCAATAATTGCTGTCAAATAAATGATGAAATCGTTGGCACAAAACTAATAGCTTTCTTGTATGTGCTAATATGATAAATCATAGAATGAAAATTGACCATCAAATACTTTAAAACTCGTGAATATTTAACCACTATTCTTTATTTTGACAAATTTATCCGCTCAATATACAAGGTTAAGTTTTTGTTCTTTATATAAATGATATTATTAGACACAATGTCATAAAAAGATTAAAATTTTAAATAACTAGTTCAACGGAAAAAAATTCTGTAGAAGATTTTAAATAACTATTAGAAACTAGTCAATAGCTACTTAAACGAAACAGCTAGCTGCTGAATGGTTTAAATAGTACAATTTTTAATTAAAAAGTATCTCTTTTGTGAATTTTTAAATAGCTACAGATTTTTTTAAATAGCTGACTGCTTAATTAAAAAGTATCTCTTTTGAGAAGCTACGGTTTAGGCTCACCACTATTGGTCTTCTCCTTCCCTAGCTATTTCTTTTTTAATAGGTTCACAAAAACATAACAGTAGAGACTTTGGTTTTTCAGTCACAGTTTTTAATATCTATTGAAATCTCTAGAACTTTCATAAGTCTTTTGAAGCCTCGAAGTTCGTTGATACCTATCATAAATTTCGATATCTTGTATTTTTGTGCTCTTTAAATTGTGTAGTGTCGTTTCATGAATATTTGTTTTGATGAATCAGTCCCCCTCGGACAAAAAAAATTACCTTTTTCAATTTCATTTTTACAACACTTAATGCATTGTTATAAAAAAAAATACCACAAAATGCAGCGTAAAAAGAACTACAATTTACAAAGTAAAGCTTATTTTAATTGTGTACTTTTTATTTTCAAAAAAAGCAAAATTCTGTGCAACTAATTTTCGACGCTGCGAAAAAATCATTTCTTTCTATGCGAACAAGAAATTCTTTTTTCCTTAATTCATGTTTTTATCAATTAATATGTTTTCGTAAGAAAAAACAAAATATACTGTAAGATGCAGCGTGAAAAGCTGCACAATCTACAAAATAAAGCTTATTTCAATTATGTACTTTTTGCTTTCAAAAAAAAATGCAAAATTCTGTACGATCAATTTTCGACGCTGCGAAAGGATCATTTTTCTACTCCAATGGGAAATTCCTTTTTTCTTATTTCAATAAACTGTTCTGTGTAAATTGTAGAGCTTTGCACGCTGCATCTTGTGGTATATTTTATTTTTTTATACAAAAACATATTAGTCGATAAAAAGATCAGATAAGGAAAAGGGAATTTCTTGTCCGTATAGAAAAAAAAATTGATTTTTTCGCAGCGTCGAAAATTGGTTGCATAGAATTTTGCTTTTTTTTGAAAACAAAAAGTACACAATTAGAATAAGCTTTACTTTGTAAATTGTAATTCTTTTTTTACGCTGCATCTTGTGGTATATTTTCTTTTTTTTATAACAATACGTTAAGTATTGCAAAAATGAAATTGAAAAAGGTAATTTTTTTTGTCCGAGGGGGACCAGAGGACTAGATAATATGGCTGAAGAAAAGATTTTGATACTAGATGTAGTTATGTTAAAACATTGACCTTATAGTCGAATATTGATTGTATGTCAGATTCAATCAAGAAAAATTAATTTAACTTCAAACTTTCAATTTTGTGTCTTGCAAAAAAACAATTCGACATCTTTTTATTTTATTGATATATAAATGTGAAGAATTTACAATAAGAAAATTTTCTAATATACTTAATATATTATTAAAGCCAAATATGAATTTTATTGGAAGTAACTCCTAATCGAAATGGTTGATTAAGTGGATAATGATGCAATTGTCGTCGAATTAAATGTGGAAAACAAGGTGTATCAGAGTATCTCGAATTGGAAAAGGTGATACGTAGCGAAACAAGTTTTTGTAATTGATCAACAAGCAGATAAATAAGAGTAACAATACGTTTTGTAGATTTGTTTTTCCCATCAACAATACAAGATGGTTGCCATCGCCATCGATCATATCCATCACAAATAGAAAATGAAAGTTTCTTTAAGTTAGATAATCGATTCGACAATAATGTACAAATTCGTTGAGCATTTTGCAATGTCAATGATATATCGAAGATCTCAAATGATTTTATCTAATTAATAGAAAATATCATTTATTTCAAGAAAAATAAAAATATTCTTTTAATTATTTAGTCGATTTAAATCTTTTTCTTTCCACATTAAATTTTAGGAAAACATTTTCTTAAAAGAAAATTTGAACTGTTAATTCAAACATTTAGAAAAAAAAAAATCATTTTATTGAGATTTTTCTCTTAAAATAGAAATAGAAATCGTTACTTGTTGATTGATAAGAGTTGTGAGATTATAATTATTTAATATTGGACGAAGTAAAATTCCTCTATGATCAAACAAATCTAGTGTGTGTGCATTATAAGCCATTCGTAATATTGATTCTAATGTGACCGGAGTAAGAACATTACTATGATTGATTGAAATATTTGTTATAGATGACCATGGAACCAATGATGATATAGAACTTCTACAGTTACCGAGTTCTCGAACAGAATTGTTCCTCTTATAACCACGTAGAGATAATGAATGAGCGCGTGGAAATAGATTTAATGGATTAATCGGCATTTGACAAGACCTATATAAGAAAAAAAAAGATTTCGATTCATCCTTTATATAAATATATTCTAGATACTTTTCAAAATTTTTAGAGAACATGTATGATGAAAGAATTGTGTCATTATGTGGTAAAGTATATATCCTAAAAGAATGATATATAGAACCGAAATCTCGATCATCAAGTTCTTGAATGAACACTCTCGGTAGCTGTCGATGAATAAATGGAACTTTAAAAAATGAATTGAAAATTATTTTTTCTTCAATGTCATCCAAAACGTATAATAATAGATTAAGAATATAAGTTGCCGTTGGTTGGAGACGATCAATACACAATTGTTGAATAATGTCACCTGATATAGTCAATGGATCAGATATTGATGTAAATGCTTCTAATTTTAATGACAAACGACAAAGTTCACGGAAGACAGATGATAAAAGTGCAATAATTCGATGAAAACTTATGCTATTCATACAATTAATACGTAGACGAGATAGATATCGAAGATGATGAGTATCAATACTAGTAGGCAATCTAAATAAAATTCATGTAATTGATAATTTTACCATTGATAGTTGTTACTTACAAGATTGTATCATGTGTATCATACTCATCACTATCTCGATCTTTTATACTGAAAGAAAGATTCTCAATGAATGGTATACATAATAGTAAACGCTCGAGAAAATATGACGTATGTATACCAATAGTCAATGTGCGAAGATGATTTGTTTTTAATAAATTCGGTAAAGTTATTTGATATTCTAATGAACCATTTTCTATTTGATTAACATTCTTATAATTATGATCAAAAGAAAGTCGACAAATTTTTAGAAGAGGCATTCTTGAACACACCTATTAATAAATTAAAAGCAATTAGAATTAATATATCGTTATATCAATACGTTTTTATAAATAGAAAAAAAAAGTCAGAATTCCATAGTGAATTGAAGTAGTAGTTCTTTTCTTACCTTAGCTAAATAAACTCCTTCAACTTGAAGACATTTAAACGAACTAGATGGTGTCACATCAACTAATAAAGTATGTAAGTGTCTTATTACGTGATTACGCAATAATTTATCAAATTCATGTGGTTCGATGCCAATCAGATGTAAACGTTGAAGTAATGATATCTGATGATACTGAAGATAAGATGAAACGAGTGACCATCCACCAATAATATCAATTAATGTTAGACGTAATGAAACAACCCGATTACCTATTAGTTTTAAGATATTTTGACATTGATCATTAAACATCAATAATGACATTGTTGTATCACCAATATGAATGTTCCATAAATATTCATTTGATATGATTCTTGATAAACGTTTAGTCAATAAAAACAATGATTGAAGAATATCAACTGGAGACAAATAAGCAAAAATTTCAAAAAGAATATCGTTAGGTAAAATTTCAAATGAATTAACACTCATGTTTTTCTTTTATTTCTGTTGTACATTCATACACTCTTTATATACTGACATACACAATGGCATACTTCCGTCTATTTTGTTTGACGAATCATTTTTTTTTCTCATTTCTCTCTCTTACTTTCGAAATAGATTAATTTAAACAAAAAAGAAATACAAAACAAAAACTATTGACATTCATATTATTCAATGCATGCTAATATAAAGTAGTTTTTTTTTTGTTTTAGCTCTAAATATATTCATTTAAAATAAAACAATTTAATGTTATTCTTTAAACTTAATTTAAACGAATAAAGAATAAATGCTTTTTGAGAATTTTATTCTCTCGAGCTGTAAATCAAGAAAACTCAGAAAAGAGACCATTTTGTTTGAGCTATCGTTTCCTACTGATGTTTAAACTTTATTTAAGTCAGACCATTATTTATCAGTGGAAATTGAAAAAATGTCGTTCCTCTCAATCAGCTGATCTAACTCGGAAATAACATGAAAAGAAACCATGATAGTATGAATGAGAGTGAAGCTATGAATGCTCTCTTTCTTTTCAATCATACTAAAAACTACATTGATATCCACAATCGGAGTTTCCAATCGGGAGATGAAGAAGGCTATCCGCTCAAAATGTATAATTGTCTGCAAGAAGTTTTAAATACTGTCTACCAAAAACATTTAATATTTTCTATCAATTTTTTACAGCTGCTGGGTAAATAGGTCTGTGACAGAATGTTTGGAGGAGGAGAGTGACAGAGATATGGTCTGATGGAAGTTTGAGGGTTGTTGAAGAGATCGATTCATAGTCGGTGTAGTTTCTTGCAAGTAATAAGTAACATAGGCAATAAAAATTCTTATCAATCACCGAGTAAAAATAATCAAAAGTAATAGTAGTGTAGCAGTCTTATTCAACACACTTATGCTTAACAAAATCAGATATTTATTAAGTACTCGAAATACTTTTACATTTTATACTTTTGAAAACTTTCTTTCTACATTCTAGCTTCTCATTGATAAAGTTCTTGTAGTGATGAAATTCACCATGGTTCAGGTCGATCTGTTTTAATTAGTAGATCGATGGAAGCATTACTTATTCGATTGATGGCGACAAACAAATTTTGACTCCAGTAAAACGTAATAATTACTAGGGAAAGCGACTTATGTTAGATTCTTCGAACGATTATTCAGCTTTTATGAGATTTCATTTTTTTTTGAGAAACGCAAGTATCGTATTTCTCATAATATATCGTATTCGAGCAAAGCCTAGAATATCATCTAGGCTAGATAATATCGAGCTAATGATTGTTTTGACCATGCAAACAAACATTTGGGCTTTTCGATTGAGCTGAATCAATCGTGGCTTAACTGTAGTCATCTATAATTAATGTAATGTTTTCTATCTTGTTTTCTATTAATGCATCAATGAATGACGAGAAGTAGATAATTTTCGATCGTAACTTATCATTTTTTTATATTAGTGTCACAGAATAATATTTATATTGAACTTGAACTTCTAAAAAAAAATTTCTTTTCAAATCTATCTTGTAAAAAAAAAATCTTTTGTCTATGATGACAAAAATCATGAAAAATTTTTATTCAAATAGAATAAAAAAAGACAAGGTTGAAAAAAAAACAATGTCTTTACTATTATATTTTTTCTTGTATATATTAATGCTGTTGAATAATATTTTGAGCTATTTCAATAAACATCTACATGTAATGTATTCAGCTCTTTTTTATTGTCAACATCAATTATGCCACTTTGTGTAAGACCTAACCATGTTGGAGATTCTAGATGAATACCATGGGTGGGTGTGGGTGGGGGGAGTGGGTGTAGGTGTGGGGTGTGGCTGTGGCTGTGCGTGGGTGTGGATATGAGTGTAGGTGTACGCTGTGATGCTTTTTTCCACAGTCACACCCCACAACAACAGACACTCACACCTACACCCACTCATCTACACCCATCCACACCCATCCACACACCTACACACCCACACCCACACCCACACCCACCCATGGTATTCCTCTAGAATCTCCACAATGGCTAGGCCTTACACAAAGCGGCAT